TTACATTGTTAATTTACGTTATTTGAACATTCACATTGGGCCCCAAGATGGCATGGGCCCAGGTGCAAGCCGCACTGCTTGCACCCCCTGACACTCCGTTAGTGGTAACAGCTATTATTCACCAAACCAATATTATTATGGTCCGCACTTTCCAATGTGTCGCCCTGAGGTGGTCTCGATGTTGTCTACTCATACTCACCTCCATTTGCTGTAGTGACTGGGAGCTAGCTAAGACTCTCCTGCAGAGAGTGTGTAAATGCTGGTGATGCTCATAATTAGCCTTGCTGTGTGAATGAGATAGATCACAGCCAGCCTGGTTCATCCTCTTCAGATAATGAAAAAATCTGAATGCAGGGAGAAAGCCAAAACTCTCATCCACTCATCGATAAATGATATCTAGCATCTGTCTGCCTGATACACAGCTACTGTATCAGCTGTGCAGACAAGGCACAGCTGGCATCAAAAAATGGGAAGAAGTAATCATACTGGTATTTAAGTGATACTGAAAAAATAGAGGTGTAGATGAGTTAGATCACTGCTTAGGAAGATAGTCGCCATGGGAAACATGTCCATCTTTGAAGTGGGTGTGAGGCGAGACACCGTGTACATATGTGCGTGTTTATTACTGCAGTACAATTCAAATAGTGCTCAGACCGATTTTTCAGAACAAAAAGTCAACAAGTGTATGCCCTCCCTCTCTGCTTCCGTCTCTCTTAAACTCTGCCTTTCTACAGAACCACTTCTGCTTCTGAAGCAGCGTCACTCCACTGGTACCTTTTCACTACATTCTTGCAGCAAATGTTGATTACAGACAGAACAGAATGATGCTTAAAATGTAACTAAACTATATATTCTAAATAAACACATACAGTATATTGATACATCTGCAGTCTTTCATTTAATCATGTTCAAATGGCACCAGGCTGCAAAACAAAAACACACACAGCACTACACACATCTATTAGAACTCAGCACTGTCACTTAATCCTCTGCGTAATGTTATTATGTGGGGACAGGACTACTCCACTGCAAAAAGATTAGTTTTACTGTTGGTATTAATGTTTTTATTCCATGAATATTTTACATTTGCACACCCTAGGCTAGCTGTTTTAGGGCCATGACATTGTGCCCCTGTGGGCTGTGCAGGAATGATTATGCAGGGCTGTGAGGAGAAACGCTAATGCTCACATGCATGTGGCCTGCACAATGCAGACGCAAGCCGGAAAGAGAGAAAACATTTTTGGATCATGCGTTCAATGGTTAATCAGAGGAATGGATGCCATCTTTGGGTGTGATGTGTGAGTCATATATTACATCCATGAGAATGACATCCAACAAAGATATTCCAGGCCACAGTCAGCACTCTAAACCCAAGGCTGCCATGTCATCCCAAGTGTGTGGAATTGAGCTATAATAAACTGCAGTGTGTGTTCATGGTAGTAAATAAGCACATCACCTAGTGTACTGGCAGGTCTCACTGCTGTATTGTTAATCATTTTTAGAAAAGAATGAAGGACATCTGTAGCTCTGAGGGAATATTAGGCTATACTGTATATCATCATACTTCTACTTGAAATCAGGTTGTTTGCCATGGAATTAAAGGGTTCATTCAAAGTTGTAGAAAACTGTGGGTTGAGACAAACTCTGTTTGACTGGGACTGTTCTCACAGCTGTGTCAGGAATATTGAGAGGGCTGTAAGCTGCAGATCATTTCACTTCTTATTGGTTGCTTGTAATTTTGGGATTTAGAAACATAAGCTTATTCCACTGCGCTGGTCTGGATTGGACCAGCAGCTAAATCCCCAACAATATAATATTGACTACCACTGTGACCCCAGAGCTGAGCTGCCCTGCCACCGTGTAACAGGAGGCATAACCAGCACCTGCTTAAAGCTCCCACTGCACTATAATCAAGCAGCCATCATCTATTCACATCAGCTCCCATTCCCCTCAAATCCACCTCCTTATTAGAGACAGAGAGAGTGGGCTGTGATTTCACTGTTTACTGCCAAACAGCCTGCAATGCCAGAGAAGGCAGAGGAGACACAACACTGATAAATACTCCGTGAGGGAACGTGTATGTGCGTATGTTTATCTCCACCCCTTGCTACCTCTACAATGAAAATGTAATCACAGAGTGGTGAAGCAGTGCAACAAATGGATGTAAACACTGAGAATGTACAGTGGCTTCAGAAAGTAATCAGACCCCTTCACTTTTTGTAGACTTTGTGCTGTAGATTTTACCATCAATCTGCAATCAGTAGCCCATAAGGACAAAGTGAAAACATGTTTTTAGAAACGTTTGTAATTGTATTAAAATCAAAAACTGATCTCTCATTTACAAGTATGCAGACCCTTTGCTGTGGCACATGTGATCAGGTGCATCCTGTTTGCTTTTATTATGTGTCCTAGAGATGTATCTGGACCTTGACTGGTATTCACTTGTGGCAAACTGAATTGACTGGACATCATTTATAAAGACACACCTGTGTATACAGTATTGTTCAAAATAATAGCAGTACAATGTGACTAACCAGAATAATCCAGGTTTTTAGTATATTTTTTATTGCTACATGGCAAACAAGTTACCAGTAGGTGCAGTAGATTCTCAGAAAGCAAACAAGACCCAGCATTCATGATATGCACGCTCTTAAGGCTGTGAAATTGGGCAATTAGTTGAAAGGGGTGTGTTCAAAAAAATAGCAGTGTCTGCCGTTGACTGTACAAACACAAAACTATGTTGTACAAACGTTTTTGTTTCTAGGATTTAGCAATCCTGTGAATCACTAAACTAATATTTAGTTGTATGACCACAGTTTGTTATAACTGCTTCACATCTGTGTGGCATGGAGTCAACCAACTTGTGGCACCTTTCAGCTGTTATTACACTCCATGATTCTTTAACAACATTCCACAATTCATTTACATTTCTTGGTTTTGCTTCAGAAACAGCATTTTTGATATCACCCCACAAGTTCTCGATTGGATTAAGGTCCGGGGATTGGGCTGGCCACTCCATAACATTAATTTTGTTGGTTTGGAACCAAGACTTTGCTCGTTTACTAGTGTGTTTGGGGTCATTGTCTTGTTGAAACAACCATTTCAAGGGCATGTCCTCTTCAGCATAAGGCAACATGACCTCTTCAAGTATTTTGACATATGCAAACTGATCCATGATCCCTGGTATGCGATAAATAGGCCCAACACCATAGTAGGAGAAACATGCCCATATCATGATGCTTGCACCACCATGCTTCACTGTCTTCACTGTGTACTGTGGCTTGAATTCAGAGTTTGGGGGTCATCTCACAAACTGTCTGTGGCCCTTGGACCCAAAAAGAACAATTTTACTCTCATCAGTCCACAAAATGTTCCTCCATTTCTCTTTAGGCCAGTTGATGTGTTCTTTGGCAAATTGTAACCTCTTCTGCACGTGCCTTTTTTTTAACAGAGGGACTTTGCGGGGGATTCTTGAAAATAGATTAGCTTCACACAGACGTCTTCTAACTGTCACAGTACTTACAGGTAACTCCAGACTGTCTTTGATCATCCTATCATTTTTTGCACCTCTTTATAGGTTTTCCCCTCTCCAATCAACTTTTTAATCAAAGTACGCTGTTCTTCTGAACAATGTCTTGAACGACCCATTTTCCTCAGGCTTTCAAATGCATGTTCAACAAGTGCATGGCTTCATGCTTAAATAGGGGCCACCTGATTCACACCTGTTATTTCACAAAATTGATGACCTCACTGATTGAATGCCACACTGCTATTTTTTTGAACACACCCCTTTCAACTAATTGCCCAATTGCACAGCCTTAAGAGCGTGCATATCATGAATGCTGGGTCTTGTTTGCTTTCTGAGAATCTACTGCACCTACTGGTAACTTGTTTGCCATGTAGCAATAAAAAATATACTAAAAACCTGGATTATTCTGGTTAGTCACATTGTACTGCTATTATTTTGAACAATACTGTATAAGCTCTCACAGTTCACATTTTTTGGGCCAAACTCCAGGCACAGGGTTTGGCAAACACCAGCCACTGCTCATCACCTGGCTAATACCATCCCTACGGTGAAGCATGGTGGTGGCAGCATCAATGCATGATAATGCTTAAGAGGTTTTACACAAAGTTAATTTCATAGATACTGTAGAAAAGACCTGTGCATGTCATGACAGCATGAGTTCAACTTAAAAGCACAGAGGACCACTCACACAGTCAGTGTTAGCATAATGAAGTGTCATGCTGTTTGCCCGCTACACAAGTTAAAACCACTGGTTATTACATTTGTAACATTAACAGGAACAGGTTTTATCACAGCAGCCAGACTTTCTTTATATAACTGGGAGTTCAGGGAAAATGATGCTCAAAGAAAAACTTGCCAAATGCAGGATAATTTTCTGATACAAATGCAGGAGGCAACACATGGGTTTGGGTTGTTTTTTGCTTCACATGTGTGCTGTGTTTAGTTTTCCCTATGCTTTTTAATTTGTTATGTATGAATTATTATGATAGAGTACTAGAATGTGACCATCCATTTAAATAGTTGGGGGTTTGTAAACTATCTGTGTTTAATGTGTGGATTAAAATGCTAGTTTGTAATATTTGTATTGTCTATGTTATAATAAATAAAAACCTAAATGATAAAAAAGATGCAAAGGTGCTTATACAGTCAGATATCCATGGCCATCCACAGAGTTGTGACATTCCTAGAGGCAGTAGTTAGTGCCACAATACCTCCATTTTAAAAACCAACTGGTGCAGAGATCCATGGATTAAATCTGCTTTCAATCTGAGGAAGGCACATGTTTGCCAAAACGTCAGCTCATGTTGTCTGTTCTGCTTACCTTCATTAGTGCTCCTGTTGTTTTGCAAGCTATAGCTTGCTTGTTTTATGTGAGTTTTGTGTGTATTGAGCAGTTGAGCACACCCTCACTTAGTCTGAGCACTCTAGCTTCAGCTCTTTGAAATCTGACCTTACTTATTTCCTCATGCAGGCAATCTATAAGATGGTATCCTCAGTGATGAAGATGCCTGAGGACGAGTCGACACCTGAGAAGAGGACAGAGAAGATCTTCAGGCAGATGGACACCAACAGAGATGGTACGGCTGGCCTCAGCAACTGATTGTTTTAAAGTTAGGGTTGTTTCACATAGAAGTTGCATACATTTAGTTCGGACTGTACCCAACTAAGAATTCTGTCAGTCAACTCAGATATCTCACCTAGACTGTCAGAAAATCAGCTGGCATGAACATCGGTAATCAAATGCAAAAGAGTGGCTGGAACACATCTCCGTGCATTTAAAAATCATTATACAGCTGTATACAGCGCCAGATTTAAATTGACAGTATACAATGTCAGGCTGCCATATGGATTGGTCGGAGTAATGAGGCAGGCAGCACACTTGTACTTCTGTTAAAATAATTTTCTTATAGGCCATTTTTTTTCCTGAGACATGGTTATAACCTAGTTTACCAACTAGTTTGGGTTTCTCCCATCAGTAAATGCATTGTTATGTTTAATGCGTGCCAGCTTGAACTGCTAATGAATACATATTTATGGTTCCTCTTATTTATAATTCCTCTTTGAAATGTTTTCCCAGTGCATCTTTGTTAGCGTCCTAGTCAAAGAGACATAAGATAAAGGGCGGTATGTTACACTTTAACGGAGAGGGACACACGTATGCAAAACCAGCCACATCATAACAACCATTAAAATCTTTCTTAAAATGTAGACCGCAATGTTTGAAAACACTTCTGATAAAGTATAAATCTCACCTTTTATGTGTATTGTCCTAGTGGTTTTGTTGTCCTCTGCTCCTTGTTCTGGGCAGCAGTTTGTGAAATGGTGTCATTGGACCTTATACACTCATGCATCGTAGTGCAGTGTCGCCACTAAAGTGGGAACCCCCCCGACCCCCACCCCCTCCAACCACAGCGGGAAGCATTGAGCAAATGGCTGCCTGGCACACTAAAATGAGGAGAAGATGACAAACTAACAGGGGCTGGCCCTACCTTCTATTGTAATGCACACTATCTGAGAAAAAATAAAATGAAATAAAATAAAAGCAAAGGTTGACTCAGAAGTCTCAGTTGACTGACTGGTCTTGCAAATAACGATTCGACTAGTCGACTTTCAGGGTGCAGCCTTACATCCAGTAGAAGGCATTAATGGTACAGAGAAAAGGTACATTTTGGTGCTAAGACTAATTCCTGTGCTATAAGATCATAACTACCGGCTGGTGTCACTATGCTCCAACCAAACAATGCTGCATCTAGTCCACACTCATTGTGCCGGTAAGAAAAAACAGCACGTACAGTGCCTTGCGAAAGTATTCGGCCCCCTTGAACTTTGCGACCTTTTGCCACATTTCAGGCTTCAAACATAAAGATATAAAACTGTAATTTTTTGTGAAGAATCAACAACAAGTGGGACACAATCATGAAGTGGAACGAAATTTATTGGATATTTCAAACTTTTTTAACAAATAAAAAACTGAATAATTGGGCGTGCAAAATTATTCAGCCCCTTTACTTTCAGTGCAGCAAACTCTCTCCAGAAGTTCAGTGAGGATCTCTGAATGATCCAATGTTGACCTAAATGACTAATGATGATAAATAGAATCCACCTGTGTGTAATCAAGTCTCCGTATAAATGCACCTGCACTGTGATAGTCTCAGAGGTCTGTTTAAAGCGCAGAGAGCATCATGAAGAACAAGGAACACACCAGGCAGGTCCGAGATACTGTTGTGGAGAAGTTTAAAGCCGGATTTGGATACAAAAAGATTTCCCAAGCTTTAAACATCCCAAGGAGCACTGTGCAAGTGATAATATTGAAATGGAAGGAGTATCAGACCACTGCAAATCTACCAAGACCTGGCCGTCCCTCTAAACTTTCAGCTCATACAAGGAGAAGACTGATCAGAGATGCAGCCAAGAGGCCCATGATCACTCTGGATGAACTGCAGAGATCTACAGCTGAGGTGGGAGACTCTGTCCATAGGACAACAATCAGTCGTATACTGCACAAATCTGGCCTTTATGGAAGAGTGGCAAGAAGAAAGCCATTTCTTAAAGATATCCATAAAAAGTGTCGTTTAAAGTTTGCCACAAGCCACCTGGGAGACACACCAAACATGTGGAAGAAGGTGCTCTGGTCAGATGAAACCAAAATCGAACTTTTTGGCAACAATGCAAAACGTTATGTTTGGCGTAAAAGCAACACAGCTCATCACCCTGAACACACCATCCCCACTGTCAAACATGGTGGTGGCAGCATCCTGGTTTGGGCCTGCTTTTCTTCAGCAGGGACAGGGAAGATGGTTAAAATTGATGGGAAGATGGATGGAGCCAAATACAGGACCATTCTGGAAGGAAACCTGATGGAGTCTGCAAAAGACCTGAGACTGGGATGGAGATTTGTCTTCCAACAAGACAATGATCCAAAACATAAAGCAAAATCTACAATGGAATGGTTCACAAATAAACATATCCAGGTGTTAGAATGGCCAAGTCAAAGTCCAGACCTGAATCCAATCGAGAATCTGTGGGAAGAACTGAAAACTGCTGTTCACAAACGCTCTCTATCCAACCTCACTGAGCTCGAGCTGTTTTGCAAGGCGGAATGGGCAAAAATTTCAGTCTCTTGATGTGCAAAACTGATAGAGACATACCCCAAGTGACTTACAGCTGTAATCGCAGCAAAAGGTGGCGCTACAAAGTATTAACTTAAGGGGGCTGAATAATTTTGCACGCCCAATTTTTCAGTTTTTTATTTGTTAGAAAAGTTTGAAATATCCAATAAATTTTGTTCCACTTCATGATTGTGTCCCACTTGTTGTTGATTCTTCACAAAAAATTACAGTTTTATATCTTTATGTTTGAAGCCTGAAATGTGGCAAAAGGTTGCAAAGTTCAAGGGGGCCGAATACTTTCGCTAGGCACTGTAGTTGAAGATATTTCCTTTGCTTATTTACCGAGATTCAAAATTTTAGAATTTTAGAACAATGTTATAGAAATCATTTATTGATCAGCTTTTAATTGATATGAGTGAAATGAGACACAGCAGGCATTTAAAATGCAGATGTTTTAACAGGTTGTTACTGTCACTGTTTAGCTAGCCAGCAGCTGTTGTCATAGTATGAACTGGCCTGGTTTGCAGTCGCAGAAGCACTTGCAGAGCCTTTAGCCTGAAGCAGCAATTCACTGCCAGCTGAAGTCACACATGACCTGTGATTTTTGTCATACACACTCCAGTCATACATACACAACTGTACTCTAGATATTCATAAAGCACATTCATGCAACAGAAAGAGATGAGATGGGATGAAGACAGAGATAGACAATGAGGAAAGAGTAACTTGTGTGGGCAGAAGCACGAAGTGTTGTTGTGGAAGGAGAGAGGGGAGTGGGTTGGAAGAGAGAGAAGAGGAGGTGAGGACAACTGGGAGGAAAGTGACAGCAGAGCAAGAACAGCACCACTGAGAGGGACCTGGATGTGCAGCTGTGCTGTCTGTCTGTTTGCTTCTTCTAAAAAGAATCACAAATAGAGAGCAACACACTGTATGCATGAGCAAGGCAACCTGATTCTGTCTGGGGTGGTTGGGAGAAAGAAGAGCTGTCTCAACAATGTCACCTGTTGGTGAGATGCGGGACATCATTAAGATTCACTGTACAAGGTTGTGAATGTTCTGAAGTGGGGATAGTCACAGAGAAGAAACACTAGAATCTCACTATGATTCTTCAGAAACATTTACTGTGTTGAATCCTGTCACAAATCCTGCCCGTATCCCATCCGAAAGCCAAATGTTCAGGCAAACAAGTATAAGGTTGAAGGCTTTCTGCCCCACCACTGACATGGACAGGTTTGTCATGGCATGAGGTTTATAAACCAAATAAAAAGCCCCATTGTCACAGTGGAATGAGTAAACAAGCTCATGAGGGAAGAGATTTAACAGAAACACATGTAGTTAAGTGCTGAAATGTACCATAATACTGTGAGTGTCACTTTTTACCTTAATCCTCCATCGTACTGGTAATGTGTTGGCTGCAGCATGGCTTTGTCACTGTTCCATGTTGTACTGTCTATCAGGAGGTCATTGTGGCTTCTCCTCCTTGAACCTTTAACTGAGATGGCATCCTGATCAAGATCTCTAACTTTTGTCTGTGTTTGGTTTTGCAGGTATACTGTCCCTCAGTCTTATGTACAGCTGTGTAAATAAAAGACATAGTCTCTTAATGTGATGCTGGTGTTGTAGGCAAGCTGTCTCTGGAGGAGTTCATCAAAGGAGCTAAGAGCGACCCTTCCATCGTCCGCCTGTTGCAGTGCGACCCCAGCAGTGCTGGACAGTTCTAAACCTGAGGCATCATCATTACCTGTAAGACTCACATTCAGCACCTTGTCCTGCAACACAGCTCACAGTGAACACTTCAGTTCCCTAAGCTTTAAATCACATTTTTTACTGTAAAGTGCAGCAGAATCTGAGAGGAGTAAGTGATATGCACAGCCAGTTTGAGAAAGTGCCACAAGCAGGACAGCTGAGGCTCAGCCTCAGGAATGAACAGCTGTGCATCTCCTGTGCAGTGAAGCCACCTGCTAGAGGGCTGCTGTTCAGGTGCTGTGTGCACTGGCTTTGTGACTGTCTCCAGTTCATGGACCAACATGAGACTCTGTAGGAGGTGGCCTGCTATATGGAACCAGCTGCTGGAGGTGCTCTTTTTAAAACCTCGATGTGTAGAATTTCACCATTTCTGTAGTGATGTAATTGTGAGCGCCTCTTCCAAAAAACCCTATCTTCTTTGAATGTAAACACTTCACTAAAGATAAAACCCAAGACCTTGTGTTGCCTCCCCACAGGTGTTGATGACATTGTTACAAGGTTTATTGGCTTGTCAAATGTCTGTAGCTTTTGTGAAACTGAGCTCCAGGCATGAGTCAGCTCAGCATTCTGTACATTTGGGCAAAGACTTTACCTCTGAGCCGAAAGTCAGAGCAGGAATGTTGCTGTGATGCTGCAGAAAGAGGGCTCATCCTAGCAGCTCCCAGTAGTTACGTAGAAGAAGTCAGTACCTGTGGCTGACCGCAGCTCTCTGTCAAGTGTATGTCAAGAAGTCAGTGATTCCTAAAGTCAGCTGGTGGAAACACTGCAGCAGTTTAAGGCCACAGTCTGTTGAAAGATGAGCAGAGGTCAGCAGCCTGGCTGCTGACTTTGTTTTTGGCAGCTATTAGACACATCAAACTCAGTATATCAACAGCGGTTTTCATGAGAGTGTGTCTCAGTGCTAACATTCACTTATCTCCTTGCAGTGCTGCTTTGGGTGACTAAATGCCCTTAACTCTCCACTATGGAGCAGTCTGATGATGAAGAATGACAAGCTGATAATGAAGATGAAAACAGGCCTTCACTTTGCCCTGAGGACTTCACAGTGGGCACAGGAGCCACATTCTGCAGTTTCCCCCCTCGAGCCCTTCATCCAAACCCTCCACACCCAACCGACGACTGAACCTGAAGACTGTCCAAACCCTCAGCAGGTTATCAACCCCACTGATTAGAATTGACTGGACATGTCAGAGTATAAAGACGGTCTATAGTAGGTTGTATATATACAGTATAAACTGGAGTCTCTGTATCGGTGTCTTTGCTTGGCTCTCTGTGCCCTCTGAGGCTCCGGCCTGGGCAACACAGAGCCTCTCACTCTAACATGTATCATAGACAGAGTGTGTACATGAGACAACGAGAGAGCGAGAGAGAGAGAGAGAGAGAGATGGTGTAGAACAACAGGGCTTACTGTAGGTGAAATATGCGAATCTACAGAGAGGACTTGTGAAGTTCGTCCTTCACTCAGAATGTGTACTGCTTTTACTTTCCTCTTTTCTACTGTGAGAATGTGTGTTTGTGTAACTTGATAGACTTTGTTTCATATTTCGTGCTGGGATGACCTGAACATGTAATATTATGCTACTATGCATATGCATTCTAATCAGTAGTTTGATTTCGTGACATCTCACTGATATAATGAAGGATGAAACACATCCCTTTATCCATTATCTGTTCCAGTGATTTTTCATGTCAGTAAGAATATGACAAAGAATTTGAGTCACGATGTGTTACTGCGCTCTAGCTTAAGGTGGAATAGAAAACCTTGTAGATATTGTAAAGTGCACCTGAATCTGTAAAGCAAGTGCCCATCACCTAGAATGCTCAGTTCAAAAGAAATATTACAAAAGTTGTTTTTTAAATTTTATTTTGACTGTTGCAGGATATCAAGCATGCAAACCAGTTTCTTTTTGACATTTACTATGTGAAGAACAAAGACTCACTTCTTCACATTTACTTTTAGATGTTTTTAAATGCTGCATGTTGAGTCAGTTAGACACAGGGGTGCATAGACTAAATAACATGTATATGACTTATGCGCATGTGTGTTTTTAATGTATGTTTTTGGCTATCGGTGGCTAAACTGCCAGTTGCCCATCCAGCTCTGTGCTCGCTTCTGTTAGTATTGTCATCATCACTACTGCCAGTAGTTGGTGTCACTGACAGAGTATGGCTTGCCAAAGCTGACACATCCAGAGGTTCATATCAATAACTGAAGAGGGAAACACAGAGGAGCTTTAGAAAGCCGCCGCCACAACGAACTACACACTTACTGTAAAGACAAGCTGTTCAGTGGGGCTGCTGGGAAGTCAAAGCTGAGCTTTCTTCTGTTTCACTTGAGCTCAGTATCAAAGTCACCATCCAGCTGGATGCGTAAATAGGGCCCAAACACAGAGTATACTTCCAACTAAATGGCATATACATAATTTAAAGTATATCTGTACAATGTATGGCATGATGGGTCACACATCAGCATAAGTGCTGGTGTCCCTCTAATAACATTACATGAATTAACATTTTGGCCTCGTCTCTTCTCCCTCCTTTCTTGGTTCAGGTGTGATAAAAAAAAAAGCTCCTAAAAAGAAGAGGTAGCTTTCTCAGCATTTCTGTTAGTTCAACCATGAGCAGTGAATGTACCTGTCCCTCCTCCAGAGCCTGGCAAAGAAGGTTCAGTTATTACATCGTTCCCAGTTAGAAAAGCTTCAAATGATTTATTAGCTAACAGCTGTTTGTTTTTTTTGTAAAGAAAAAAAAAGCAGACAAACAAACCGAGAATCACGGCTCTCTGCGATCATACTGTCACAATGTGTTGCTTTTGTTGTATTTTAGTGATATTTTTTTAAGCCTACACCAGGTGCAACATTTCTGGTAAAACACAAAATAGCATCTTATGGTCAAGTGCCAAATAAAAACAAAAACAGTATTGTATATATTTCTACTGTGCAATTGTTATCTGTTGAACAAAATGTTTGCAATTGTTGCATTTTGTAGGTTTTGTATGGTATCCTGTGTTTAGTGACTGCAGTTGTGGAACACAGGATTGAGTTTTTGGTCAGCTTTAAAAAACGAGAATTAAATTTACAATTTGTGTGCAAAAATGTATGTCATGTCTGATTGATTGTGCAATATAATGCTAAATATCATTTTGAGTAGAGACATTATATAGGGTCCAGCAGACACAAGTTATTTTATTTAAATTTTTAATTGTGAAATGTCCCACACATTTTTAAGAATGCTTTTAAGAAAGTACAGTACTATAGTACATGTACTTATTTCATTTCTGGCTGAGGTAAGACTAATTTTGTAATGCTAAAATTTGGCTCGTGATGTCAAAAAGCTGTTCATGCTGTATTTACCATCCCACTGAACTACCTTTGTGTCTGGGGAAAGAATAATACATCTCACACAGGAGGATTATACTGTGAGTGAGTAAATACATTGCAGTAAGGAGGTGCAGCTTGTTTCACTACCTTTGACATAACTTCTTACTGCAGTGTCTACGGGCCATGTTAGCAGCTTTTTGACACTATTTGGGTGACTGGGGCTTTGAGCTAAATGCTAATGCTAACATGCGGATACCATGCTGCCAGGTCATTAGGTTAACAATATGTTAGCATCCATCCATCCATTATCTATATCGCTTATTCCTGAATAGGGTTGTGGGGGGCTGGAGCCAATCCCAGCTGACATTAGGTAAGAGGTGGGGTCCAACCTGGACAGGTCACCAGTCTGTCACAGGGCTGACATGTAGACAAACAACCACACTCACTCCTACAGGCAATTTAGAGTCATAGGTTAGCATAGTTTTGCAAATATTGCAGTTAGTCCCAAGTACAGCTGAGGATGATGTGATCTTAATCTAGTAGAATTGCACAAAATAAATGTTTACCTGATAACAGAGCTGAAAAGTCTGGAATGTGAATGTCTAACTTTATTGGCAAGTCATCCAGTTATTGGAGATACTTCACCATGAACCACAAATGTCAGCCTCACTGTGGCAGCAGTGATCAAGCATGGAGAGCACCACACGGCCCTACAGGGGTCGTCCAGGTCTCGCTGTTGTTTCATGATGACGTTAACTAAATGTTGAGATATTTGTTTCTGGACCAAAGTGGTGGATTGGTCAACACCGCCATCCCAGAGCCGCACCACTAACATGACCGTTGATCACATCTATACAGCATTTTGTCTTTTGGATTTGACCGAATTTGAAAAGCTCTGCTAATGTGTATTGATCATTTTATAGTTGATATATTTAGGAATAATCACACAAATGTGAACATGATTCTATTCATTATATTCAGAGAGAGGGTCAGAATATTAGGAACACCTCTGAAGTAGTCCAGTACAACACCACCTTTAGCTATGACCTCAATAATAAACATATAATTTAAGTTGTAATTGTATAACAATTTCACCAAAAACAAACATTTAGAGCATCAAACACAGATGTTAAGGTGGAATTGTTGTACTGAAGTGCACACGATTGCACAGGTGTATCTAAAATGGCTGGATAAAGCTTTAGTAAATGATTTGCTAGCAAAGCCAATAATTACAGTTTATAAACCCCTTATATATGAAGGCCTTATCAGAAAATAGTTGCAAATTTTACCTTGGATGCTGCAGAAACATCTAGTTAAAACTGGTAAACTAATGTCAGAAGTAAAATAAATCAGGAGACAAGTGACTGCATATAAAACTGTATTTATCAACTCATTTAAAAGACTGTACATCACAGTGCATGAAGCATATGAAGCTGTCAGTGATTCAGGTGTAAACCGGCGGTGAGTAGGACCAGAGTGGTTAGACTGAAGCCTCAGGCAAAGGTAGTAAATGGATGGACCAGCTGGGCTTTGTGAGTGCCTAACTAATGTCATAAATACTAATCACCACAGTCTCTTCAGAGAGAGGGAAAGCAGTAAACATGTACAGAAGGAGTTTAACAACATCCTGGGGACTTGCAGGCTTTTTCCATAATGGTGACTCATGTAATTGCAGATCCTAAGACACCAGCTTGTAATTGCCAATACTGCTACAAACATTCACAATTTCTACACACAGCATGGCTGAAGCGTCACCAACTAATGATCAATGACAGACGTTAGATCTCTGACAGAACCACACGCAAGGAGTCTGCAGAGCTCTCAATGGCCAGGATGAAAGTGTCCTCGTTCGAATAATGCTGGATAATGTTGTCGTCCATGTTCACCAGAACCCTGAGGAAGACAGACAACCAATTAGAAAGACTTCTTTGATAGAATCTCCATTGAGTGATACTGTTGTTGAGATAAGCTCCATGTTTTTTGCCATGCTAATGGTATAGGTCTAGAAATGGCAATGTCAGAGAGTCTGCTGGTCAGTCTCCTGGTTTGGTGCTCACTGATACATCCAAACAACTAGTGGATGGATTTCCATTAAATGTCTCAACAACATGCAGTGCCATGAGATTTGGTTCACAAGATCAAACTGAAATATGAAAGCCTCAGAGATAAGGGGGGAAATCCTTTTATTTGGATACATTTTGCAGCAGATGTTCTTTTATTTCTCTTGCTCTTTTCATTTTGTAAGCCTATCACCAGAAGATGCATGTTTTGTGCTCCCATGTGGAATGGGATAGATGTCTAATCCTGAACATCTAATATCCACGATAAACATCAGAAGTGTTAGCAATGTTACTGAGCATGTTAGCACAAATTACTGCTGTGCCTACATGCAGCCTCACAGGGTTGATCACATGATCACATGTTGTTAGCATCATTTCTCTGAAGACTGACTCACCCTTTTTTGCTTTTTTGGTAAACTTTGGCCATCTTGTCAAGAGGCACTGCATATTTCTCTGAGATCTGTGAAGAAACAGTAGACATGTTTAAACATGCTGAAGCAGCCTGAGGTCGCAGCTAAATGTCATTATAACTCTATGAATTATTATATTAGTATTCTGAGATTAACAAATCCTGTTTAGCACAAAGGGTCCAATGTGTTTTTCCTATTTCAGGGTACAGTACTGAGCCAGTACTTACTGCCTCCATCAACGCTTTGAGAGTGGGGGTGTGCAGCATTAAGGCATCAAACACTTCATCACGCTCCTTTCTCACATATAGAAGAACTAAAGAAATATAGTTAGAGGAGACAAAAAGCCTCATCACTCATCATGTCAAATAAGGAACAGAACCTGATACAGATCTTCAGTGACGCCATGTTTGGCTCAAATATGACAAAAAAAAGATTAAGAACTCCAAAGACAAACCTTTCTTTTCCTGGTCTACTTTGGACCTCTTGTGCTGAGGTCGACTGATATTTTCTTCAACACATGACATCCTCTTCATCAGAACACTCCTGACACATACACACAAACATACACAAACCATTTAAATGATCTGAATACTTGTTTTGCTTTTTGCTCCTCCCCTGCTCCATTTAGATGTCATACAGGGAGAATTAATGATCCCCAGTCCATTTCACAGTTGTGTGACACAAATACATAAACTATTTCCACCATGGAAATGCCATCAAAAATAAACCACAGGTGCACATGGTGCAGTAAGATGCAACACATGAGGTTTTACAGGAAATCAGTGGTGTGAGAATAACAGCAGAACACTCACCCATCTCTGTCAGCCTCCTCAGGGTTAAAGGCAAATACCTGCAAACAGAGGAGAAAACATAAGTCACACTGCAAGACTGGACCAGGTGTGTGTGAGAGAGAGACAGAGAGAGAGGTCCCCTGCCTGCCCCGCTTTCTGCAGGTTTCCAAAGTGCACGTCAGGAATGAAGAGGACAGGCTGGGAGTCCAGGTCTATCATGGTTTTGAACAGCGTGCTATCAGCCCTCCTAATGGGAGAGGTCAGTCCCAAACTGCTGTTCTTCCCTAATCAAGAGAGAGAGCATGAACTCAGCATCTGTTGCCGGGCAACCACTCCAAGTACAGGTTTGATTACATTTGCCTGGCTTTACACTTCTGCTGTCCTCTCTGTTCCAATCATTTTTCTGATTTCCTGAAACAGGCTTTGTAACCTTGTTTCCATGGTTTTTAAATTAAGCTTGCAAACATTTTTTTATATATAACTAATATGAATATCATCATTTTTAATTTTTTGCCAGATTGAAAGAGAGAAAGAAAGACCATGTATTTACCTTTTGTCTTCCTTCTGAGTTGCTTCTTCTCCTCATCACGAAGCTTCCTCTCAGCGCCCTGCAAAACACAGAGGAGGTTGACAGGACAGAAAGCACAAAATACAATTAAAGACTGATTAAGTAAAGCAAAAGGTAGAAATGAATCACATGTCATGACCAGGCAGCAGTCTTCCTCACCTTGTCGCAGAAAACTTTGACCTGAGCAAAGGCCCTGTGGATGGGTTTGCTGCTGCACCCGTTGTAGCTGTAGGTGTCGATCTGCATGATCAGAGGCATCCCTTTCACACCCTTCTGGGAAGAGAAGTCTGTGCTCAGACAGTTCACAGAGATAAAGACCTAGGGAAAAAAACAGAAGACAGTGTCAGTTTCTGGGGTTTCCTGAGCTAAAATGAGCAGTGGGAGAGATGCTGATCAAACAGCTGTCACACAGCAGTGATTCACAGCCCGGGGTGATTCTGCAGCTCAGGCTGTGGAAAGTTAGTAAACTCAAACTTATTTTACAAAAATAACAAAAATTATGATTTCATTTGAAAATTGGCAAGCTAGTGGTTAAGGCACAGCGCTCTCACCGGTGCGCCCCGGGTTCAAGTCAGGGTTGCGTCAGGAAGGGCATCCGGCATAAAACACATGCCAAATGTAAACATGCGAGTCGTCAGTGTGACGATTCGCTGTGGCGACCCCTAAACGGGAAAAGCTGAAAGTGACTTTCTATTTGAAAATTAACCACATATTTGGTCAGCTGCTACACATGAACACCACCTGAATGTGTCTATATTTTTGTCCTCCTCAGCTACAGTACATACATGAGAGGGTCAGAATATTAGGAACACCTCTGAATATAATGTAGTCCAGTACAACACCACCATTAGCTAGGACCTCAATAATAAACATAGAATTGAATTTATACATTCATGACAATTTCACCAAAAACTGAAACATTTAGATCTTCATCAACACAGATGTTAAGGCAGAAGTGTTCCATTAAATTGCATACAATTGTACAGGTGTACCTAATAAAGTGGACAGCGAGTGTATATTAACACTTGAAACCAGCGGCGTCTCCAGGATTATATTTCATAGTGCACACAAGCACTAAGCAGTAATGAATAAAGTTTAAATAGTTAGCTAAGCTAAAAGTAATGGTTAAACAGTTGAAATAGTTGGATATACTGTAAATAATAGTTTTGATATAAATAATGGCCTATCAAATAGTTGAACGGTCAGCGACACTGGGCCATGCGAACATGTCCCAGCCCACCACTCAGACAGCCGCTCCTCATACTGAATGTTTTATCTGCTAATAAACATGGTTCACATTTGTGGAAACAAACATGGAAATGATGATCATTTAGAAGAAAGTGCCATTTTTATGCTGAAACATTGAGTGGTGGTTGAATATTTTTTCAAAGCCCTCAGTGTCATGATACCTTGAAATGCATGACTCTGCTCCAGTATGGCTCTTTCCCAGAGCTAAACAGTGTAGCAGAGCCCCTCAGACGTTTTATACACTTGAAAGACAAAAAGAGGATTCACAAATCTCACCGTTTTAACTGTTTCAAACCATGAAGTGTTCACTCTAATCAACTTTGTACGTATGTTCACACAATTAAATACATGTTGGAACAGGTTCCTGTGATTAACAGTGACATTTGTTTAATGCTAAATCAACCAACTCCAGATGAATTTTCCAGTTAAACAGGACCAACAGGACGGATAACGGTAGAGATTCCTCACTGTGCCTCAACAGTAATTTTCCCACTATGCGGCATCGACATCAGCCTGTCTGAACCTGCAAAAGTTAGCGCTGATTGCTGGAAGGGCCTGGAACACAAATGAGCCTCCTACAAACCTCCACCTCCACAGACCCAAGCCATTTAAAATTCTCCAACAGCAGTGGACACATTGCTGCCAGTATCTGTGTGTGTGTGTGTGTGTGGGGGTAGGAGGCTGGTTTAAAAGCAAAATGATCATGGGGGAGCTATAACGTGGCTGTTCAGTGCCATCCGCTCACAAGGCACAAGCAAACAAACACAAAAACAGAGTCATGCTGCAGGAAGCAGCTCACTCCCCTATCAACACATTTCACAGTCCAGCACAACGAGGATGACAACTGTTGCCAGGTGACAGCAGAGCTGTGCCAAAACTGATTGTTTGAATGAAATATATCAGTCTTGTATTTCAACCCATCAGAGCCTGACAGCACATCCAATTAAGTTTGGATACCAAACTTTCTAGATGGCACCACCCATAGAAAGTGAGAGAAGTCATAGCAGCAACATGTGAGCCCACACATTTCCACACAGCAACTTTCCACCTTATTTCCAGGCAGTGTGCAGTAGAAAGGCCGATAATGATCATCTGGCTAGTGTTTGGCAGCAGCAGCCACACATTCACAACCAGAGTCAGACTGCTCACCACCAAACTACAATATGCAGGTTCCGGATTGGAGGATGATGTGATTGTTTTTGGCATTCACTTTTCAAATGATGATTTTTATGTATGCTAAGGCAACAATCCTGTCCCTATCACAATCATAAGCCACTAGGACAATTTCTGTAATATTTAGTCCCCTCCTCACCCTATGGGGAAGTGACAGTGGTGCGGTGGGTGGAGCAGTCGTCTCCCAACCAGAAGATTGAAGGTTCGACTCTCGGTGCCTGCAGTCCACATGTTGAAGTGTCCTTGGGCAAGACACTGAATCCCCCCCCCTTGCCCGTGATGGCAGCATGCAGCGGCCCTCAGCTCCAAACATAATTTCATTGTACGTGTCACAATGACAATAAATAAAGCTTCTTCTATAACTGTGGGCCTGTACTTTGCTGCGGACATGTTTTGACCTGAATGCTAATATAAGCATACTACCATAACAATGACAATGCCGATGTTTAGTAGATCATGTTTGCCATCTAAGTTTAGCATGTTAATATGCTCATCTTTGCTAATTAACACTAAAATAAGAAGAGGCAGTTGAGGCCGATGAGAATTTCTTTGGTTATGTGTCCATAATCAATGTATCGGACAAATTGAAAAAGTAAACCCATCACTGGTCAGCCTGTGGGGAACCTGAGGGTCTGTACCAAAATGTATGGCAGTCCTAAGACTACATCAACAATCCTGGAAAGAAAAATGAAAAGATGCAACTTACTTGCATTATTGTAAGTGTAGGATCCAGTGTTTTGGGCTTGACCTCATATAAGGGACTAGAAGTCAGGATCTCTTCACCTTTGATGCCTCAGTTTTGATACATGTTGTGTCTTGTGAGTCCCCTAAGATCTGCTTAATCAATCGAGCACTAAGTGCTCTAAAGCTGGAACATGTATAAATTTAAGTGCTGATGATGAAAGCTGAGGAGAGGTTACATTTAGATGCTTTCCATCTTCACAAGCTGTACAGACCTTCTCAAATGTAACTACACACACTGTATTGGTACATTATTGTCAACAGCTGCAGAACAAGAACATAGGAAGCATAAACTGAACAATCATAGCTTGATGTTGTATCATTATACAACTACCTGAACACACCAACAATTACAATAAAGTGAAGCTGTGCACCAAAAAAGTTAATATTTATCCACAAACCCACAAAGATGCAATTACTTCTCTTTCAATGTGGCTGTTTTTGGAGTTCTCATTTAATCAGAGCTGAATGGGAGCTACAGCCACTGTCTCCACACCCCTGATGCTGTGTTTGTACATGTTCATGTGTTTAACACTTTTACAAAAGACGAACTGCAAGTAGCTCCTTTACAGGTTCTGTCACCATGTGCCTGGGGTGCCTGCAACCCCAAATAAAGAGATGCTCCTTCTGTCATGGAGGATAAAGTGACCTGACTTATGCCCCACCAACTATCGTGAACCTCTGAGGTGCCAGCAGTCCACGGACATAAACATTACAATCCAGACAGAGTCCCTGCAGCCCAACAAGCCTCAGGACAACAGCTTGTGGTTCCCACAAGTGACTCAGTCATTTCTTGCTTTGACTTAAACTTCACAATCTCACTATTCTTTGCTTGCTTTTTTTTTTTTTTTTACCTTGGCTTCTTCCGTGACATCCCAAGTGAAAGAAACAGCATTATAGGCAATTTCCTCCACATTTCCAATCGTGCTGAAGCTCTCCTTGTAGTCGGCTGCATGCAAACAGAGAAAACAGGGAAGTTTGTGGTCAGCCCTAATTTAAACATTTCAGGACATTTTAAAGATTGTGGCCAGAGCAATAATGCAATACAAATAATGTTAAAAGAAAAAATGCCATTCCTGCATTAAAAACCCAAATTAAGTAAAGGTGTGCAAGTATTTTCCAGAAACAGAGATAAAAAAACTAAAGTCTCAGAGTTAGAGACAAATGGTCCCCATATTACATTAATAAATTCCTACAGACATATCAGTGTACAAGCTGCATTTTACTGTTGCAACTGATTAAGGTGAAGTTAGAACTACTTTAAAATGTAAACTTCTACAGTCCTACTTTAAACACATTTACTTTACTCAAGTGTTTCCAATGTTCTGCTATACAGATTTGTATTGATATTTTTTAACTCTCTTAATGTTTGCTTCAAAATAATAATAATCAAATAAACTGATCATTTCACCTCTTTGGGCGGTCATTCCGATGAAAACATCTAAGTTTAAAAGAGTAAATGTCTACTTGCTGGATCTGCAAGTAACAAAGACTCAAAGACATTTCAAACATGACAAAGAGAACAGGCACTGTTCTTGGTAAAGTGTCACAAGCCAGAAAGGTTGAAAACAACTGGTTTCATTTTTTACAAAATGATTTAAATTTCATAAGATTATATCAAAATATTAGCTGTAAAGTGATTATAGATGTTTATTAAAGTAATTACAGATGTTTCAGAAAAAATATTTTAGAAAAAACACAATGTTTTAGAAAACAGCTAAAATTGTAGTGCAGAAGAAATATAAAGTAGCAATAAATGGAAATGCTCTACTACGAGTACCTAACACTTGTACTTAGATTCACTACTTTAGTAAATGTCACCACTGTTCAGCCGCTGTTCAGTTTTAAACCGTCAAATTTTAGATTCATATGACTCCTTGTCATATGAATCTAAAAACATTTCTGTCATAATCTGGCATCTTTTCCCCTGACAGGACAATTTTGCTAACAAATAAAGATCTAAATTGGTAAAGAGTCACATAAGCCCCTGTTATTAGATCTTAGTGTAGCATTTGACACTGTGGATCAAGAAATACTTCTAGATAACATGGAAAATTGGGTCGGGTTATTGGGAACGGTCTTCAGGTGGCTCAGATCATGTTTAGCATACGAGATACAATATATAGTCAGTATCAGTAATGATTAATCTGAAAGAACCGCCATGGAGTACGGTGTCCCACATGGATTGATGGTGAAAATAAAAACGTTAAAAAAATAAAACAATAATACTTTGACACCCCTTCTTGTAGTTTTCTGTTCCACACTTCTCCTCCCAGGGCACAAGAGTTGCTGCTTTAAGGTTCACTTGCATGCAGTTAATTTTGTAATATGCTACCTGCAGTTTTCAGAGAAAGTAATGAGACTAGTCCATTTTACTTTAAACAATGTCAAAATGGAGGCAACATTCATGGGCTGAAGAAACATCTAACAGGCTCTGACTTCAAACAGCCCTATAGTGGACTGTACCATTTACACTTCCTAGTGAGTCGCCTCATGTCTGCTGTCAGTTACACCTGTAACATGATTGATCAGGACCTACTTTTACATGTTATTTCACCACCATGCTATAGACACTTTCCACGCAGTGACACCTGTGCTCCTGACCCCATCCAAAAGCATGGTGTAATTCTGACTGCAACTCATTCAAAATGCTAGAATACTGGCAAACACCAAGAAGACGAACACCACATTACTCCAGTCCTTAGGTCTTTTCACTGGCTTCCAGTATAATACAGAATTGAATTTAAGGCCCAACTTAGTGTCTACAAGTCTCTCAAATGTCTGGGCCCAAACTATTTCAAGCTTCTTTACAAATAAAATCACAACTATTAGAGAAAAAATTGGTCGGACCACTCCCACAGCTCTCGCGAATGTGCAATTAACTACAATGGCTTTAGAAACATCTGTAAGACCTCATTTATACTTAGACTACTTCTCTCCCATAGATCTCTCTGAGTTGACCTCAACAATTGCTTCATCTAAATCATCAACATGTCTCCTGGACCCCATCCCGACCAGGCTGCTCAAAGACGGCTTGCCCCTAATCAACACATCCATACTAGATCTGATTAACCTCTCTCTATTAACAGGTTATGTTCCACAGGCTTTTAAACTTGCAGTAATTAAACCTCTACTCAAAAAGCCTACTCTTGACCCAGGTGTCCTAGCTAATTATAGACCAATATCCAATCTCCCATTTATTTCCAAAATCCTTGAAAAAGCTGTTGCAAAGCAGTTATGTGACCACTTGATTTGATTGATTGATTGATTTTATTCTTTCAAACATGCAGAACAGAACAAATGAACAAATGGCAACAACACACATAATTGCACATATCCAACCAATGCTAATCCAAAATCAGTTTGCTTACACATATGACATGTTTGAATGGAGTAGGAAGAAGTCAGACTTATCCAGTCCTACCCCATGACATCATATTATACAAAAATTAATGC